GAGATCGATGACTTCCCCGAGGTACCACCCATGCCCTGGAGCAGGCTGGGCTCAGCTCTCAACCCCTAATGGGGGGGGGGGTGTTATCTCTTTACCCCCCCCAAACCTCAGCTAAGAGAGGGATGTGCAGGACTGAGCCCTGCATCCTCCATCAGAGCTGCCTGCTGGCACTGATTGGGTGGGCAGGGATTCTCCCCTTCATCCTTCTGGGGACCAGTTTGGTGGCCTGACAGCCTCGTGGGGTTTCAGATCCACAGCACGGTCTGTGGCTGTGCTCTTCCCATCTGGAAGTGGCCCTTGTCTCTAGCAGAGCCCTTGGAGGTTTGTTCCTCCTGACGCCTGTTTCTTGGTGTGTGAGCCCACTCTGAGTCCTTGCTGAGTGGTGCTGGGAGTGTTTCTGCTGCTGTGTCACCCTGCAGGGACAGAGGTGGCAGTGAGAGGCTCCTGCTCATCCCGGGATGTCACACAGGTCAGCCTGTCCTTGGATAAGTGCTGATCAGAGCCTCCCTCCAGCACAGCCCCCAGCCAGCTGCCTGCAGCAGCTCAAGGCTTAACACGGTTTGGATGGAGGCAGTTTTGAGGCACCAGAGAGATTCTCCTTTAGCTTACCCATCTCTTTGCTCCGTGTCTTTTGCTACCTGTGCCTGACCCCTCTCTCTGCCTCTGGTCTGTGCAGGAGTACTTGTGGGAAGCGTCTCATTACCTTGTAAGGCAAGTGTTCAACAGCATCAAGGAGATGTTCTCAGCAACCCGAGATATCCAGGTAAGGTGCCTGCTGCCTCTTCTCTCTTCCTGCCTTTTCTTCTTTGCTGGCTCACCCATACATAGAGCAGGGGATGCTCCATGGGGAGAGATGGTTCTTCTGGGTTCCAGCCTAAAGGGGATCCTTGTGTCCCAACCCAGAGGTGTGGGGTTGTGCCTGGTACAGAGCCAAACTAAGCACTGCACTGTCAGAGGCAGGGTCAGGATCACCTGTGCTGGGAGGGGATGGGGTCTCCCATAGTAACTCCAGCCACTTCCTTCTGCTGCAGAACTGGCTGACAGAGAGTGCCAAGCTCATTGCCCAGTCAGGCCAGACTGTGGAGTGGGTCACACCACTGGGTCTCCCCATCGTGCAGCCGTACTACCGCTCCAGGCCCACTGTGGTAAGTGTGTGATGTGCAGGAATCACCCACCCCTTCCTCTGCCGTGGTGGGGGGGAGCAAGGGAAGGACCCCAGGCAGCAAGCTAAAGCCCATGGGGTGGCCATCAGGGTGGATCTGTGTGTGCAGGCACATCCTGCAGCCTCCCTGCAGAGCCTGGAGCTGGTGGGTGCTGCTGAGGAAGCGCTGCTGCTCCCATCCCACTCAGGCAGCTGAGGCACGGGCCCATTCCCTGCTCCCAGGAGCCTTCCCGGGGCTCTCGTGATTCAGACTCGCTGCTCTCGCCTCCCACATGCTGCTGCTGCTGCTCTGAGTCACATCTCACCTCCAGCAGCCCTTCCTGGAGCCCTCGCAGGGTGAATCAGCTGGGAAAGGGATGCAGGATGCCTGGCAGCATCCCTGCCAAGGGGACTGCTGACTGCCTGGTGACTGGGATGCCCTGGAAGGGTCCCTTATGGCAGCCAGGGGGGTTCCCTGCAGAGCAGGAGCATGGGGCAGTACAGAGGGAGGGCTCATCCCCTTTCTCTCTCCCTGCAGCTCAACTGCAGCATGCAGAACCTGAGCGTGAAAAGCACCCACAGCAACCAGTAAGTATGACCCCATGGTCGTGACTGAGCCCCTGCTGTCCCCAGCCTGTGCTCTGGGGACAAAGCATTCCCATCAGTGGAACCTGCCACCAAGTGCCAAAGCTCCTGTTACAGCCCTGAGCTGCAGGAAACCAGCTGAGGAGTGGAGCCCTGTGCTTCAGCAGGGCCCTGGGGCCTTGTAGAGCTGTCCCCATCAACCCCAGGTCTCATTTTTGTCCTTGGAAGTGCCTTAGTTCCTCCCTTCTGCTCTGTGCTGCAGGAAGCCTGACACGGTGAAGCAGAAGAACGCTTTCCCACCCAACTTCATCCACTCCCTGGACTCCACACACATGATGCTCACAGCTCTGCACTGCCTCAGGTAGGGAGCTGGGGCTGTTCCCTGGCTCCAGGATCACTCTTTGCACGGAGAACATTGCCAGGACAAGGCATGTGGTGGGGGGAATGGGTATTCCTGGTTATGGCTGTTTGGGTTTCCTGGCAGAGAAGGGCTAAAGGGGGACTCGGGGGTGGGTTTGCTCTCCCTGGAGATGTTGCAGGGAGCCCTCCTCGTGTGGTCCTTGCTCACATCCCAGCCCAAAGACCTTGATGGGGTATGGGGGGGCTCTCAGCATCGCTTATGGCACCTTCTGCCTCCCAGGCAGGGCCTGACCTTCGTCTCGGTCCACGATTGCTACTGGACTCACGCAGTCACCGTGGATGTGATGAACCAGGTAAAAGGGGATCCTCAGGAGCTGGGATCCTGCTGGTCCATCCTCTGGGCACACACCAGCCCTTCCCTCCCCTGGCCTTTGCTCCATGCATTGACCCGGCTTGGCGGTGGTTGCAGGTTTGTCGGCAGCAGTTTGTGGCTCTACACAGCGAGAAGATCCTGCAGGATCTGTCTGAGTTCATGCTGGGGAAGTACTGCAGGTATCCCCTCAGCCCCTGCCCGGGGCTGCTGCGGTATAGGTGCTGTACATGGGTTGGAAGAGCCAGATCCTGCTCCCATGCTCATTTCCTTTCCTTCTGGTTCATCCAGCCCTGACAGAGAGCCTACAGCCCCCTGGCAGAAGAAACTGATGGAGCAGCTGTCCAATGTCCCCAAGACAGGTAGGAGCATGGGACAGGACCAGGAGTGCTTTGGAGACAGAGGGAGTGAGATGGGGATTTGGCCCACCAAAGCTTATGGGGTGTCTGAAGCTGGACACAGCACTAAAGCTATCCCCTGGGATCGGTGTTCCTGCCTGTGCTGCACTGCAGAGCCATGGGGCAGAGCCTGCAGCAGCCCTGGGAGCCATCCCTCCCTTCCCCTGGGCTTTACCCCAGGCTGAGCCAGCTCATCCCATCCCCATCTTGTTCTTCTCCCATCTGTTTCCAAGCAGGAGGCATTTGCCTGGAGATGGGAGGGAGGCCCTTGGCATGGTAATTGCCAGGATCTAGATGATACGCATGCAATGGGATTGAGGCAATTAGTTTAACTCTTCTAATCTCTGGGCCCTGCGTCTGCCAGACCATCTGGCCAACCTTTGCTGTGCCTTTGCCAAGCGGAGGAGGCCGCTGCTCCCATTCCATCGGGAGGGGTGGCAGCTCCTGAAGCCCTCCAGCTCCCTCTTGACCTTGGATCTGAGCTGGTTTCATGAAGCAGGGCTTGGGGCAGCTTCTCTCCCCTCTGACCTCTCCTCTGCCTCCTTCCCTCAGGTGAATTCAACCTGGAGAACGTGATGGATTCCACCTATTTCTTCAGCTGAGCCCCAGCAGCCAGCAGGGCCCTGTTCTGCCTCAGAGGCTGTGGTAGGCACTGCCCCACAGGGCTCCTCTGTCCTGCATCTCATGGGTGATGCGGGTCCAGCTGCCAGCACCAACGCTGGGGCACATGGAGACTGCAACGAGCAGTGACAGAGGGACAGGGTCTCTGCCTGTGTCCCAGGTCCCTACCTCTCTGCTGTGGATGCTGGTGGGTGGGATGTGCCCCCCCCCATCCATCCCTCCTTCCCCACCAGCAGGGTGCAGGCCCTGAGCTCCATAGGGTGGGTGCTGTCCCTGCTCTCCCGCAGCGCAGCCTCTGTGGCTCCTCATCTTCAGGGATGGGATTTGCTTCTGCTCCCGGGGTCTCATGCAGGGAAAACCACTCAGGGGGGGTGGAGGTTGACAATACTGTAAATAAACTGGGTTTTGAAATAGCAGCTGGGACCTGGGCCCTTCTTTTGGCATCTGAAGCCCTGGGGATGTGGTCCTCACATCCCCAACCTGCTGCTGTTCTGCTGCCCGCCTTCAGTTCCTCACAGAGGAGCCACAGTGCAACTGGTGCAGCTGCAGGGGCTGCATTTCCAGCCCTCTTCACCCCAGGCCTGCGTGTTTAGGATGTGTTTAGGAGCCCATGGGCTCCGCTTTGCATCCTGCTCCTTCCCCTCGGGAATAGAGCCACGGTGCTGCCAGCAAGGGGAATGGTGCTGGGAGCCAGCTCTTGTCTCCCCTTGTCATCGCTCTGGCAGGGCAGCAGGGAAGGAGGGAAGAAGAGACGGAGTCGTGCATGGCTCTGTCAGCTGCTGCCGTTTATTGCACAGGATGGGCTGGAGGGGAAGGTGGACGCCTGGAGCGGGGCCCTGGCCCGCGGCTGCGCAGCTCCAGCGCCAGGCCCCTCGCTCGCTGCCTACATTCAGCGTGGAAGGCTCCCCCCTGCACACACACACACACACACACACATCCACATACATACACACACACACGTGTCCCTGATACACACATGTGCCTTCCCCAGCCTCAAAGCTGGGTCTGGCTATGGGGCAGCCCCAGGTTTTGGGGGCCCAGGCTCCAGTGTCTATGGGGGCAGATGAGCTGTTTTCCTCCCCCCCCCTCGCCCCGAGCCGTGGGGCTGGGTTTGGGGGCAGCGTGTTTGTGGGGTGCTCACAAGCCTCAAGGCAAACCGGCCCTCAACACCCTCCCCTCCGACTTACCTCCAGTGCTGGACCATCACCCCTCGCCTCAGGGCTGTGGAGGGGAGCAGGGACAGGCGCCGGGGGCTGCCTACAGCCCCAGGGGGGTGTCCTGCGGATGCACACACACACAGGGATGGATTCAGGTCAGAGATACCGTACACAGAGCTGCTCACAGGGATGGTGCAGTGGCTTCTATGGGGCGGCTGGAGGGGGGGGGGCAGCGGGACGTGGGGCCAGACTTTGGTCGGGGAGTGGGGCTCAGCCCGGTGCCCCTGGTGGGGGGGGATTGGGTGCAGCGGCCCCGTTGCCCACCCCCGGCACTCGGTGCTCCCGGTCGGGCACGGGGCGAGGCGGCGCTCGGTGCCCCGCGCCTGGCGCGGAGGTCACAAGTTGGAAGAGAGCCTGGACTTGGCCGGGTCCGTGTCGGGCGCGGCGGGCACCGAGTCCTGCGGCCCCGCCAGCGCCGGGTGCGACGGGGACCCCCGCGACGGCGCCGGACCCCGCAGAGCCGCGGGGGGAGCTGGCCCCGGTGAGGCGGCAGCGGGACCCCCGGCGATGGAGGCGCAGGACTCGCGCGTGGAAGCCGGGGGGCTCTGGGTGCTGCCGGCCCCCGGGCCGTGGGGCAGGGAGGGCTGCGAGGCCGAGAGGGGCCGCGACTCCTGGCTGAGGCTGCTGGTGGGCAGAGCCTGCGTGCTCTTGTGCGCGGCCAGGCGCTGCGGGGAGCCGGGAGCCTGCTGCTGGCCCAGCGAGAGCTGCGAACCGAGCTGCACGGCGAACGTCCGGGCGGCCAGAGGGCTTTGGGTCGGCGGGCTGGCCGCGGCGAAGGCGCTGGTGGAGGCGGGCATAGCCGCGGGTTGAGCCGGGTCCTGCGCCGGTGAGGGGTTGGAGGCGTGGGGTACGGGAGGCTGCGGCTGCGGAGGGGGGCTCTGCTGCAGCAGGACCGGCGAGACGGCGAAGGGGCTGGGTACGGCCGGCGCGTACTGCAAGCGGCGCATCATGCGGGGCGAACCCAGCGCCATGGAGCCCACCAGCGGGCTGGCCATCTGCGGGCAGAAGCTCATGGCGACGGCTTGTTGGAGGGTGGCGATGGCCGAGGTGACCTGAGGCTGGACGGGGCTGTACATGGCCGGGTGCTGCTGCAGCTCCGCCTGCTGCACCATCTCCCGGTCGTACTTGACGATCTCCTGGATGATCTCGTTCTCCTGGTTGTTGAAGACGCCCGAGTTGAGGTCGTGCTGCACTTTATGGAGCAGGATCGAGTTCTTCTTCCCTGCAGGGCCAGGATGGGGAGAGCCTGGGTCAGGGTACACTGAGACAACACAAACCCCCCCTCAAGCCCTGCATTGCCATGACACCCACCGATGCGGTCGAGGCGGTCGATGGCCACGGTCTCGAAGGCCCTTCGCATCATGGGGTACTCCTCCAGCACCTCATTGAAGTTGTCCACCGAGAGCGAGTAGAGGCGGCAGTAGGTGTCTGCGCGGACACTGGCCGTGCGCCGGCCCCGCGTCAGCAGGCAGATTTCTGGGGTGGAAAACACCAGTGTCAAGCACCAAACACCATCAGTGGGACTGGAAACGGGGCAGAACGCGTTGTGGGTGCCCCAGTGCCTAGCACAGACCCCACCAGCGCTCACCTCCGAAGTAGGAGCCATCGGAGAGCTTCATCTCCTTGTTGCCCTTGGTGAGGATGCTGACCACCCCGTGCTGGATGAAGTACATCTTCTTGCCGATGGTGCCCTCGCGGATGATGTAGTCGCCCGGCTGGAACACCTCGAACTTGAGCTTGGTGAGCATCGCCGTGACGAAGTTGGGGTCCGCGTTGGCGAACAGCGGCATGGAGGCCACCAGCTTGCGGCAGTTGAAGTTCACGATCTCCTGCAAGGAGAGGAGGTGAGGGGATGGGGATGCGGCTTTCACACACGGGAGCCCCGGGTTTCATGGAATGGTTTGGGTTGGAAAGGACCCATTTGGAGCTACAAAGCCTTTGGAATAGGTGCTCAACCCCAAGCAGGAGGTGGTGGGACCCCCTCCACTGCATGAAGCCCCTCACTGGGGGTTGGACGTATCCAGTCCCCATCCTCACTGCAGCACCCTCACCCCTGGGGTCCCCACCTCACGCAGGGGCTCGTTGAGCTCCCCCAGGATGCTGTCCTCATCGAACATCTTGCCCTGGTAGCGATGCTCGTAGTAGTCATGGATCTTCTGTCGGAAGTCGGCGGGCAGCTTGTGGAAGGACATGTACTGCTCCACCTGCTTGTACTGTGGGGAGAGGCAGCCTCAGCACCCAGCCGTGTCCCCCTCCGTGGGGCTGCTCTGTCTCCATCACCCCATCGGATGCTATGGACACAGAGCCCTCACCCTGCAGCTCCAGGAGGGGATGCGCTGGCTGTGCGCAGGGCAGGAACCATGGTCCCCATCCAGCCCAGTCCTACCTTCTCCTGGTACTGGCGCCGGGAGGAGTCGAGGGACTGGATGAGGGCGGTGGCGTGGCCGATGAACATGGCATAGCACGTGGCACCCACGATCATGCTCAGCATCGTCAGCCAGATGTCCGTCATGCTCTCGGGCGCCTGCTTCCCGTAGCCGATGCACAGCATGTGGCTCATGGACTTGAAGAGGGCGAAGGAGTAGAGCTCGCTCCAGGAGTCGTTCTGCAGCGACAGAGGGGGCCTCAGCTCCTCCTTGCACCATAGGCACAACCAGGGGCTGATCCCGGTTCTGGATCTTCCATCCCCAGGGCTCAGCACTAGGATTTGGTTGGTTGTGACAGTCCCACCTCGCAGGTGAGATCCAAACAGACCCAGTGCCCGGCTCCCTTTACATCATTCTGTGCTATGGATTTCTTCCTGAGCTCATACACAACAGCTCAGTGAAGCCCCTGTGATATAAGTGCTGTGATGGGAACAAGCTCCAGGTTTGTGGAAGCCCCGCAGTTACTGCAGCGATCAGGAGCTTGCTGGGGGCACCTGGGGCAGGAATCCCTCATCCCAGCCTTGTGCAAAGCCCAAAGTTCCATGGAATCATAGAATGGGTTGGAAGGGACCTCGAGGCTCATTGATTCCAACCCCCTAAGGGACAACTTCCACTGTCCCCCAGGAGCGAAGCAGCCGGGGAAGGAGAAGCACAAGACACTGGGGAGAGGAAGAGGAGGAAGCCAGAAAGGGGGAATGGAGCGGAGATGGAAACGCTGGCAGAGCAGGAAGAGAGGGATGGGGGGAGAAGAGCCCTTTGCAGCAGGGCTGAGAGGGAGCAATTAGAGACAGGGCCCATTATTTATTAATAGCAGCTTTGTTGCTAATGAGCAGCAGAAGGCAGCAGGGGACGGGGCAGAGATTCCCTGTCGGCATCTTCCACCCGCCCGCATCGATCCGCTTGCTCCCGGTCAGTGGGAGGAGGCCAGAGGCCACGGGGATGGAGCCGGCACTCACCACCATCCCGTTGATGGAGACCCAGCAGTTCTGGGGGAAGTCCTGCAGCATGGGCACCAGGAACTGGAGGCAGCCGTCCCAATGGCACAGCAGCAGCATCATGCCGATGAGGTTGATGATCCGCATCACGGCGCTGGCCAGGTCGTACGTCATGTGGAAGATCTGGGGGTGAAGGGGGGCACTGGATGAGCGCAGGGACCAGCTTGGGACACAGACCCACATGGTCTGAGCTGGAGCAAGGCACTGGCAGCGGGTCCCTGAGCTCCCTATTTATATCCAGTGCCTAATGGCTGCGAGCATGGATGGGGATAAGGCGATGCTCAGGGAGAGCCAAGTGCTCCCAGTGCTGGGAATGGATGGGGCAGCCCCGGGTGGTTCTGGTAAAGAGGGCCCAGCCCTGGGCATGTCCCTTCCCCACTGTGGCTGATGGCAATGGCCCCCCCGTTGCAATGTGGGGTTGTGGTGGTTCCAAGAAGATCAGAACTTGGCTGGAGCAGCTCTGGAGCCAGGCTGAGAGAGCTGGGCTGGAGAAGGGAAGGCTCCTGAAGGGGAGACCTTAGAGCAGCTCCAGTGCCTAAAGGGGCTGCAGGAAAGCTGGAGAGGGGCTTGGGACAAGGGCCTGTAGGGACAGGGCAAGGGGAATGGCTTGAACCTGCCCGAGGGGAGACTGAGCTGAGCTCTTAGGGAGAAGCTCTTCCCTGTGAGGGTGCTGAGGCGCTGGCACAGGGTGCCCAGAGAAGCTGTGGCTGCCCCATCCCTGGCAGTGCTCAAGGCCAGGTTGGACACAGGGGCTTGGAGCAAGCTGCTCCAGTGGAAGGGGTCCCTGCCCGTGCCCTCACTGCCTTCATCCCTGGAGCTCTCCCTGCTAAATCCCATCTAAAAGTGGAAAGGGCACAGAGCCAGGAGCCTGGCAGCGAGCGCAGCCACATCCTACACAAAGGCAGGACCCCTCACATCCCCAAACCCCATCCCACCCATTGGCACCATGGGCAGCCCCCAGACCCTCGCAGCTCCTACTCTCTCCATCCAGTCCTACTGCTGCCGGAGGAGGATGGACCCCTGCAGGGCTGCATCCCAAGGGATCCTCACCTCCTCCCACTGGTGGATGTAGCGGATGAGGCGGGAGAGGCGCAGGAGCCGCAGGAGGCTGAGGATCTTGGTGAAGCGCACGATGCGGAGCGCACGGGCGGTCTTGTACACCTCCGAGTCTATGCCCTTCTCCACAATGAGGAAGACGTAGTCCACGGGGATGGAGGAGACAAAGTCCACCACAAACCAGGTCTTGAGGTACTTCTTCTTGATCCTCTCAGGGTCCAGGATGATTTCCGTGTTGTCCTCAATGACAATCCCTGTCCGGAAGTTCAGCACCAGATCCATCAGGAAGAAGGTGTCGGAAACCACGTTGAACACGATCCAGGGCGCCGTGGTCTCCTCCTTGAAGAAGGTGATGCCCACAGGGATGATGATCAGGTTGCCCACCATGAAGAGGAGCATGGTGAAGTCCCAGTAAAACCTGTGGGGGGGGAACATGGAGGAGGGTGTCACCACAGCCCCATCCCATCCCCGGTGCCGGGTGCTGTCCCTATGATGCCACCTCTCCCCATGGACCGCATCCTGTTCCACCATATCCAAACTGCCCCGGGCCTGGTCCTGGAGCCGAGCACGGCTGTGGTACCATAGGGCAGTGGGTGCAGGATGATGCTGGGGGCTCTTCCTGCTGGAATGGTGTGGCTGGAGGTCAGCCCTGAGCACCCAAACCCAGGCAGGTCCTGGGACAAGGGGAGAACGATGCCACCGACACCAGTGGGGAACAGACCCTCCCTTGTGCAGCCCTCACCTCAAACACCGGCAGCGCTCGAGGTGCTGGAGGGCAGGAGGCGCCAGCGCGGCTCCGGGAGCAGGGACCCGAGGATGGGGCCAGAGACCCCGGTGAGAGCCGGGTTCCCCCCCAGCGCTGCTCCCCCATGGCGGGGGCTGCAGATCGGACCCCGGCAGCGCGGCCGCAGCCGCCGCAGCTCCCGGTGCAGCGCATCACGTAGAGCTGCAGCTGCAGCGCCCGCGGCCCCGGGATGCCGCTGCTCGGCTCCGCTCCTGCCTCACCCCCGTCCTTCCTCCTCGGCCACCGATGCCCTTTTAGAGCATCTGCAAGGTCACGGCAGCCCCATCCCGGTGGGATCATGCGGAGGGGACCCCTGGGGGGGGGGGCAGAGAGGGGGATGCTCCTCAGCACCACGCACACAGACACACAGGACCCTTGCCCGTGTGTCTGTGCAGCCGCAGGTAGGAGCCCCGGGAGCTGTAGGGGCTGCCCTGGCCACGCTGCCATGGACGGGGGGGGACGATGGGGCCACATCCCGCACACAGGAAGGGCGGATGGATCCCTCCCCCCGTGCAGACTAGCGCAGGACCAGAAGGAGCATCCCCGCTCCTGACCTTTCTCCAATGACACCTTCGCCATGTGAGCCGTTGCCGTGGCAACCGCGAGTGATGTCAGCGCTGCACAACGATGACTTCACACCCGGGGCTGTCTCCAGGGTACCCTCAAGCCGCTGCACCCCGTGACCCCCAGCATCACCCCCAGGCTTCCCCACAACCCCAGTGAGTGCCAGGGGGCAAAGCCCAAACCACAGCAGCCCCGGCTCCAAGCCCTTTGCAATCTGGCTCAGCCAGGGGAGGATTTGGGCTGCTCCTGATCCTCCCCCTGCCCCAACACACGCAATGGACACTGCGCGGTCGCTTTAGGGACCTGGGTGCGATGCCAACGCTTTCCTCCTTGGAGGGCAGCCTGAGCACAGCAAAACGGATCCAATCCAGGCTACTAAAAATAGCTGCAAACAAATTAATGAGGATCCTCAGCACCCTCTCGCTTGCTTCTGACCCAGTTGAGTGATGGCGATGATGGCAGAAGATGCCCAAAGCCTCTGAGAACCGGGGCTGCTCCATCACTCCCCTTCCCAGTGATCCCATTGAGGGGGCATTGAGCTGCCCAAGACCCTGCTCTGCAGGAGGTGCCCTCAAGGGCTGAGCCCCTTGGGCTGCCCAGTGGGATAGGTGTGGGTTCGGTGCGGGATCGGTGCAGGATCAGCACTTCACAAACTCACACTGAACACTCAGATTCAAAAACGAGGTCGTTCTTAGAAGTGGGTTAAGAAGCCAACAAACAGCTGAAGTTTGCCAGAGCCAGGCGAGCGTCCCAGTACAACCAGCGGTGCTGAGCGACTGGTGCTGGAAAAGCCTTTTACCTTGTGGGGTCCCTTAGGAGGGGCAGGAAGGAAAAAGCCTTTGGGAACTGCTCAAGGGCCTGAACCTTACCAATCCCAGTCACAGCCTTCCCCCCTGCTGAGCATCCCATGGGTCTGACTGCCCCACACTGATGGCACAGAGGGGTGGAAGGACTCCTCAGCACTGCTAACACTGGGACCAGCAGCAGCCACAGGGAACCACAGCCACTTGGTCCCGCTGCTCAGGAGCCCCAGTGTGGCACCATCAGAGCGGTGGCACCATCCTGGCAGTGGCAAAGCCCCAGAAACCAGTTTAACACCGGATGAGGAACGCTCTGGCCAAGCAGCACTGGAGACACATGCTCCGGATGCTGCTTCACCCCCAATTCAAGTGTGGGACCCACTCTTGTGAGCACGGGAAGGGATGTGGCCCCCCAGCTCCTGATCCCACCCCAACAGAAGCGATGAAGAAGTCAATGCTAAGCTGGGCATTGACAAAGACCAGAAGCAGCAAAGACAGAGGCGATGACTGTGCCACAGCACCCAAGAGGAAGCAGCACCATTTACCAGGTCTCTTTTATCAGATTTGTGCCTCAGGATCCCCACCAGCCGCCCCAAGCTGCTTCCCAATAACCCCAGATTCATGTAAACAGCAACTTGGGTTCCTGGAGCCAGCCTGCCCCTGAATTGTGCAGGAATAACGGCAGTGCCGTGTCCAGGAGGAAACAGGATCTCTAAATGAGACCGATTATGAAATGATGTCACATATGCAGATGGGCAATGATTTCCTCTTCAGATGGGAAAATGGATTTTGCCAGGCTGGGCTCCTGCTCCGTTATCGTTGGGAGATAAAGAGGGGATTATTTGTGTAAGGCAGGACAATGACGGACGCACGTCCCCAACGCAGCTTCCCCAGCACCAGGCATGAGCATGGAGCCGATCCTGTCCCTGTGCACGTTACTGGAGCCAGGCGATGCCGATGCCGGGGCTCTGCCCGCAGCTCCTCCCCGCTGGGCAGGGAACTCTCCTACGCCACTTGCAGCATCAAAACACGGCCAGCGGCTCTTCCCCAATGGGTTTCAAGTCTTGGCAGCGCCTCGGGGAGGGATGGAGGCAGCGCGGGGCAGGCGGACACCGCGACTCCCCAAGGTCACCCCGGCGGGGAGCGGAGCCTCCGAGGCCTCGCTCCCACCCCGGGCTCGCTGCAGGGAGGCCCCGCTCTCAAGCAGCACCGCGGGCTCTGGCCCGGGTGCCGTCACCGCGCTCCCGGCCTCCTGCCCAGAGGGGCGGCATCCCCCGGCTCAGCAGCCCCTGCCTGGCACCGCCGCGTCGGCTCCGCTCTGCACCAGAACCCCGGTGCCCAGAGCCAAGGAGGGGGCTCCGAGGGGTACCCACAGCCGGTTCCCTATGGGGATGTCTGCCGTGAGGGAGCGGGAGCCCTGGGCAGCTCAGCCCCGAGGGGAGGCCTCCGGTTGCTCCTGTGCAGGATCAGCCCAGGAACCGCACATGAGGGTGGGAGCAGGAGGTGCTGGTCCCTGCTCGGAGCCCGCTTGGCCAATGCAGACCTCATCACCTGCACCGGGGACCCCTGCGCTGGTGGGGACCTGACCAGATCCCGGGGTCTGGCTCAGCAGCATCCCCACAGCGGCACACAGCAACCCCTCCTCGAGCCTCCCCATGCACCAGAACGACCCAGAGCCGAGCCCCTCGTCCTCCCCCAGCCGCTGCCTAAAGACCCTCCGGGCCCTTTGAGGTCACAGGGCCAGTGGCCGCCGATGGCTGGTCACCAGCGATGCCAGCAGGCTCTTGGCCACCCATCCCACAAGGTGCTGTGCCATGGGGCCACAGCCGGCCGGGCCACGCATCCTTCCCAGCAGCGTTCGTGGGATTCGGGAAGCATTTGCCCCTGCTGAGCTCCCCCAGATGGAGCTGCGGAGTCCTCCCCGGCTTTGCCATTCCTCAGCTGGAAGCCGACCTGGAGGACTCCGCTGCTCTTGGGAGCGAGCTCAATCCCTCCCCAACTCCCTGAATCCTAAGGACAGGATCAGGCCTCCCTGGTTTGGGGAAGGGGGGGGTTTCCGCAAAGCCCTGCCCTCGGCAGCAGGGACCGGGGCTGAGCCAAAGCCCGGAGGGGCTCCGCAGGGTCCGTGCTGGGCCCGGGGGACGCCAACGGGGTGCGCGGGAGGCACCCCCTGATCCAAGCAGAGGGCTCCGGGTATCCCGGCTCCCCCGGGGAGGGGGTGCCCGGCCTCCCGCCCCTCCCCGCACGCACCAGCATCCGCGCTGCCGCCCAGCCCAGCTCAAGGTGCCCTCGCCCGGGGCCATCCAGCCCCATCCCACCCCGTTCCCGTCCCGGTCTCACCTGAAGTCGCTGTAGGGATGGATGATCCAGGCCCCCGCGGACTTGACGCGCTCCTGCTCCCGCTCCACCGCCTTCTGCGAGCCGAACATCCGCAGCGAGAACTTGTTGACGCCGGGCTGGAGCATGGCCCCGAACTGCCGCTGCATGAAGCTGGCCTGGCTCCCGCGGGCCTCCTCGCCCGCATCCTCGCCCGCTCCCTCCTCGGCCGCCTTGGCCCCGCCGGGGGACCCGCTGCTGCCGCCGCCGCCGCCGCCGCAGGAGAACGAGACCTTGGGCTCCCGGGGCGGCTCCGGGCCGGGGCTCCGCGGCGCTTCCCCGCGCCGGCACTCGCCGTTCGGAGACCCCTTCCCTCCGCGGCCCCGCGCCCGTCCCCCCGCCGCTCCCCCTCCGCGCTTGGCCGCATCGGCCGCATCCTCCTCGGCCGCTGTCGCTGCCGCCGCCGCCTCCCCGCGGCCCGCCCGCATCCTTGCCGCTGCCGAGGCCACCGGCGGCCGAGTGGCGCCCGCCGCCGCGGCGGGGGCGGGCCGAAGGCGGGCGGAGGGGCCGGGCTGCGGAACGGGCGGCTCCGCAGCTCCCCCCGCCGGTGCGGTCCTCGCCGGTGGTACCGGTGGAAACCCACCCGTGTCCGTGCGCTGGCCCCGGGGAGGCTCAGAGCGGCCCGAGCGCACCCCTGGGCTGAGGACGGAGCCGCAGGGACCCCATGGTTGCATCCATCCCTCTCCCCTTGTCCTGAGCCTCCTGCACCGAGCCGGCCGCCGGGGTGGGCACAGGGGATGGAGGCTCAAGGCTGGCCCCGCAGCACAGGGCGGCTCTCACATAGCCGGGTCCAGCAGCCGCAGACAGCAGCGGGACGGACACCTCCGCCAGACACAGCGGGTGCGATGCTCGGGGGCAGCGGGACCAACCCCTCCCGACCCCCGCCAAGCAACGAGTAACTCCCGCTACCGGTATCCCCGAGCACCGTCGAGCGGCCGCAGACGGGGCCCCCCCTTCTCGGGGTCACGGTGCCTCACGGAGAGCGCGGCCGGGGGGGTGGCACCATCTGCTGCCCACGGCGGGGAAGCGCAACCGGACCGTGCGTTGAGCCCCGCTCCCGCACCAGCCCCGCTCCGTGCCCGGGGAAGGGGGAGCAACCGCGGGGCCTGCACCGAACCCACGGGAGAAGACACCCCAAAAGGGATGCTCCAGGCTCGCTCCGCACTAAGCCACCCCCTGCAAGGGGAGAGCCCGTTCCTCCCAAGCCCATGGGAGCATCCCCCCGATGACCCAGCACTGAACGGAGATGGAGGCTGGAGCCCCCCAAAGAGCGAGGTGGCAGCTCAGGGCTCACCCCGAGGCATCATCAGGAGCCCCACATGCGCTGGGGCGCTCTCCATTGATGGAGATCTTGTTCACCCCATCCCTGTCAGTGCCGCAGGGGAGCAGCACGTTGCTGCTGCTCCATCTCTCCCCAGGCCGGTTGTTCCCCTCCCTCCCTTGCCAACCAAGAGGCACAAGCGGTGCTTTGTGCTGCAGCAGAGCCAGGGCAGGCAGGACCCATCGTCCTCATCAAGGAAATGAAGCCCTGCATTGATTTCTCACCAGGATGGCACCCGCCAGCACGAGGCCGGCTCGGAAAGCTTTGCATAACCCACTTATAGAGCACAGAACCCGAGCTGCTGCAGCAGGAACAGGCAGGAGGGACCCAGCACCACAGCTGCTGCCACCTCCCCACAGCCACGCTCCCACATTACCCCTTTGCAGGCAGGGAGAAGGCTTTGGGTGCAGAGGGAGGCTTCAAGGCCATGGAGCAGGCTCAGCCAGGGCATGCAGTGACTCCTCACCAGCCCACAGCCACCCCTGCTTCACTCTAAGGGCTGGAGCTCCTTCAATAGCAAAGGGACCCCCCTCTTCCACATCCTCCATCCTCTCCACAGGCACCAAGGCCTCAACCCTTTCCCCTGGGAAAAAGAACTGCTTGTAGCATATCCTGCAAAGGCCCCTTAACCCTATGGGCACAAGATGCTGAGTAACCATGCAGCAGGGCAAAGGGACTGCCCCCAGCATCCCTCCAGGTGCCGCAGAGCAGGAAGCACCGCTCATCCCCTTCCCAGAGGGCTGAAAGCCTCAAGCTGCACGTACAGGGTGATGAGAGCCAGCACCAAGCTGAGACACGGCCCCATGCTCCGCAGGCATGAATGAGCCAGGGAATCAGGCTCCTACCCCCAGGGAAGAAAGCAGAGACCAGGCAGGGATGGAAAAAAAACCAGAGAGAGGAATCGTCTTTATTGGTGTGTTAACAGAGGGAACAGGTCGCTGCTACCCAGCACTACAGGCATTAAGACTGCACGAAGCACTCGGCTGCTCTCGCTCCTACCTCCCAAACCCCACCAGCTCAAGCCTAAGAACACACACACGCGGTTAAACTGCCCCCAGCCCCGCTGCAGTAAGGGGAGAAGAGATCCAAGCCCATCCCATACGTTCACAGCCGTGGTACCCATCTATGTCCAGCTCCAACGCTGCTTCAGGTTTGTTGAAGAGCATTTAAAAGGAAGCTCTGGAGAAGCTGCTTGGAATCAGCACTTCCACGTGAGGGAAAGGTGCAGCCTTGCTGCTGGTGATGCCCTGGCTCAGCTCAAGTCATCACCACAGCAGCTCCATACACATTTGCTGCACCTTCAAGTCTTACCCCAGCTCCAAAGCACAACAGTGCGGCCAGGAGGGCGTTCCTGCTCTTCCCATAGGTGAGGAAGTGATGCTCTCCCAACCTACCCCCTGGACCAATAGCAAGAAACCTAAACAGAGACAGGCAAAGACTACCAGAAACAAGGGATTTAACATTTACAGGTAGAAAAACCCTCCCACAACTCTTTGTTTAAAAAAAAAAAAAAGGAAGAAAAAGTGTATTTTAGATTCTACAACTGAAGTTTCTTTAGGAAGTGAAGGATCTGCGCTGTGAGGATGCTCGGGGGTATCTCCTGCTGCTATTTTCCACCCCCCTCCTGACAAAAGGATTAGAAGAAAACAAGGTTGTCCAGATGAGCTCTTCAGCTGCACATCACCTGCGGGGAGAGAAGGCAAAGCCAGTGAGAACACAGTGGGACCAGTCACGCTGTGCTAGGGGAGGGTGATGGAGTGGTGCAGGATGAAGGCTGTGGGCAGGAGTCATCCCACAATCCTGACTTTCCCATCCTGCAGCCCAGCGCTGCCTTCCCCCTTTCCCCTTGGCACATGCAGATGCTCCAGGGCTCCAGTAGGTTCCAGCCCAGCTGCAATTCCCACTGGGAATGAATGGTGCTCACCTGGCCCCTGCTCTCAATTCGCGTTTCTCTGGCGGACGTTCTTGTCCTTGTGGTTTGTGGCATTGCTTTTCCTGGGAAGAGAAAAGGGGCAGTGAGGGGAGAAGCAGGAGGGCACAAGCTCAAGAGAAGGCAGCAGGACACTGGAGCATCCCCAGCAGAGACAGGGATGCTGTTGTCCCACTCAGGCCGCATGCAGAGCACTGGGGTCGGTTTTGGGCCCCACTAACAAAAAACAAGCTGGGGCCAGGCTGGAGGGGATCCAGAAGGGCCACAAAGGTGACCCAAGGGACTCAGCAGCACATGAGGAAAGGTGGCCCAGGGGGAGAGCTTATCCCCATGTTCCAGTGTTTGAAGACTCCCTTTTACAAGGAGTCAAATGGCAAGGAATCACGGATGTAATTCAGGTCCTAAAGGTGGTCAAGAGGAGATGAGGAAGGAATCACAGATGTAATTCAGGTCCTAAAGGTGGTCAAGAGGAGATGAGGGACCATAAGAGAGTCAGTTTTGAGGCACGGGTGCCATCTCCAGTTCAGTGTGGTTTATACATAGGCCCCATTCAATGAACCACAGTGGGGGGAAGCCTGCCAAACCAGCAGAGTTATTCCCACACCAGCCAGAGCACATTCCCTGGATGAGATCTGGCTGGACAGGAAAAGAGGCAGGTACTTACAGTGGTGCAGAGCCTCCATCGTCATCTTCACATTCCACACAGCATGGAAGAAAGAAAGAACAACCAACATCAGGGAAGGGCATGGGAGATGTAATCTCTGCCACCTCTTAAACCCCTGGGGGCTGCATTCCAAGGAGCTCACTGGATTCATTGGATGCCACTGCCCCAACAGGGCTGAACCCAAAGGGCAGCTCACCCCCAGGGCAGAGCAGGGGGTACTGCCCCCAAGCTGCTTCTTGTCTAAGCTTAGGCAAGGCACAGACTTAGACGTAAGCTGCTGTTACGCAGCCACAGGGATGAGGTTGGGCTCAGGGGATAACAAAGTCCCCATCACCCCCCTGCTCCAGAGCACAGCTCAGGTCTGGTGCCTCCAACCCCAAGGCATGAGGCAGACCTGAGACTGCCCCAGGAGCCAAAGGGAAGCATCCAGAGAGGCTCGGAAGCAGCCCCATGGGCCGGTAGCATCCTTTTGGCATTCCCACCCTGTGCATCCCCAGCAGAGCAAGCAGCTCCTCCCATCCCCAGTCCTTACAACTGGGAAAGGAACAGATCCACTGGGAGAGGCTGCCACTGAGCTACCCCCTGCGGCCCCTCAGATGGTTCCCAAAGCTCAGATTCAACAGCAAGAGGGGATTCCACAAAGGATGTTCCAGAACTGCGTTAGGGGGGATCAGGAGGAACACACTCACACCACAGCCCTGCTACAGAGACCCACAGCTAAGAGAACACCTCTACCACGTGCCAAGCCCTTCACCAGCTCCTTGCAACCTGACACCCCTCAACAGAAGGGTCCCCATCATCTCCTGCACTGCACCTCAAACAGGATCACCTTGGGCCCCATGATCTGCAGGCAGCTGGTGAGAGGCCAGAGGCAGAAACAGGGCTGGAACTAGCTCCTACTTACCATGCAAGGTGGCACCCAGCAGCAGAGAAGGGAAGAGTGGAAAGATAACACCAGCAAGGATATCACACCTCTCCCTACCCCAGGTAATAGGGAGCAGCTTATATCTGAGCTCTGGAGAGGTGCAAAGCTACAAAAGCCCTTTGAGGAAGAGCAGCACTTTACACCAGGGAGGTGTAAAGCTGTGTGTGTGCTTGTCAAGGGGGTGTGATGCTGTATCCCCATTCACAAGTGCTTGGGAGCTCTGCCCAAGGACACTTCAATAGACACACCCCCTCTCTTTGTGTCCAAGCATCTGCTACAGCATGGGTCAGCACTGGATATGGTCTGGACCAGGCTGATGCCATCAGAAGCCAGATCACTCACCACGCACAGGGTATAGATGGGGAAGATGCAGCTACAGCATCCTTAAGGCATCTGCTTCCCACCCAGGAGCTTCAGAGGGACAAAGCATCTGCTTGTAAAAAGCACCTTGAGTGGAATTCCTCAACCCCTGTGGGAATTGCAGTCCCTCCCCTGCACCTCACCCCATGTCTGACCCCTTCCTGCAGGCAGGAAGGATACCAACCCTTTACACCTCATTGTTAACTGGATCAGATAAGGCAGGAGCAGCTGGGCTCACACAATGCAGATCCTTACTG